AATCTCTTAAACTGCGAATTGGGAATAATAATAGGGAGCTTCTAACAGGGTGGTTGTGAGGATGAAAGGAAGGGCTTGGCACAGTGGGTGACACCGCATATTCAATCGGTGGTACCTAACACTAGAATACAGGGTTGTTGTTGTTGTTGTTGTTGTTGTTGCTGCTGTTGTTGTTGCTGTTGTTGTTGCTGCCCCCTTAGTATTTAAGGGGTATCAGTGGCCCAGGAGCCTACAAGAATGGTGAAATATCGTTTGATCTGGATTTAGAGAAAGCTTTAACATCTCCCTTTTCCAAGTTAAAATTTCATTATCAAAAAACAGTAAGCACAGAAACAAGTTAGTAAAAGAATGTTTGTACTTTTAACTGAGGATCTTAAAGTAAATACATTCAACCCTTCCTGATTTTTCCCAGGAGAGGGAGTATTATGGACAATTTCAATCACATACTCCTATCCAGAGTCAAGGAAACTTTAATTGCATGTGTTACTCTTAATAGCAGATTTGCCATCGTAACTGTCTCGCGTTGGCTAATATTTAAATTAATTTGCACACGATAAGCTCAGACTCATCATTCAGAAAGTTGTTCCCCAAAGCCATTTAAACCGCAAAGCAGATGAGTTTATCGGAGAGAATTCATGCAACACCCTGCCTTCTCATAGTTGACTGATAACGCAGCAAATGGGCTCCTACGGGCTCTGGAGTCCGACTTTTCAGGTTCCAATCCTAGCCATCTCCTGTGAGCAGCTTTGTGACCAGGCAAATCGCTTTGCCTCTCCAGACCTCAGTTTCTTCCTCTCCGTAAAACGAACCTCCTAACAGCCTTCCCTCCCAGGGCACGTGCACAGAGCTCTCACACGGTTTCTGGTTCCCAGTAGGCATCCCACAGAATTCTGTGACCTCGTTGTCATCTTCATCTTATCAGGATGTTATTTCTTTAATATATGCATAAAGAATTTAATTTAGGAAAACATCTAATAATGTGGAAAATATTTATGATCTCTAGTCACCTCTTAATGTATTGATTTACACAGACAGGGCTATTGAAAACATTTTCCAAACCAGAGTCCAGGCTTCTTATTCCAAAGAATGTTTAATCCCAGTTTTCATGATATGTCACTTTGTCCAGCTTATCCATCTTCAACTTTTACAGGGTGATTGGTGCTTTTCTAAAAAGCTTTGGGTTTCAAACTGTATATTAAAGCGTCTGTGCTCTAGAATTTACTTGGCTCATAAACCTATGGCTCGGAACAATATGGGATTGGTTTACATTACATTATAGTCACAGGTATGATAGTTATGGTTTATTTGGTCTGCGCTGAGCACCTTGAGGGCATCTCCCACAGTGCCTTAAAGATGGGAGACTCAAATACTTACTGAATGAAATTAATGTGTAACAAAATACCTCGCATTGTTTTTCTGAAGATACGTTTCCCTCACATTAGGAAATCTAACTTTAAAAAAAAAATGAGAACAAGGCAAAGACTTCTGACTTTCATGCTTAAGAGCATGAGTCTGATATTTCTAGACTGAAGTACTGAAAGTGAATTTGGAGATCTACCATTGATATTTCCTAGAAGAGATATCTATGGACTATAACACCTTCTTTGCATTTGTTGGTCCCTTTATCTCAAATATTCTCCCCTCGGATATTGCTTGTTTTATGTTCGTTTTTTTATAGTTTACCCTACCTCCACTAGACTAGAAGCACCCTGAGGTTAGAGGTCAAGCCTACACATTTATTGCTGTTTACTGCAATAAACAGCTACAGAGTATCTATTGCAGCGCTAGGCACTTAGTGGGTAATCAATAAATAGGCTGTCAATTAGTTGAGTGTCAGAAGACCAAGATCTGGTCTTATGCAATTATTCCACTGCAAAGCAGTAATCTTTTTTTTTTTTTTAATCTTTTGGGTCAAAACCACCTTTCAGAATTGGAATTAAAATCACAAAATGCCTCATTAGTAAAATTTTACATGCTCAAAATTTTGCACATAATCTCAGTCCCTGGGCCTCAGTCTAGGAATCCCAGTTCTAAAGGTATATATGTAAATACTAAGAAAATCTAACTGAAATATTCAACTAAATATCACAAAAAATTTAATTACTATAAATACCAATGTGTTAATATTCATGCATCTATAGTAATAAATTATATGTTGCCTCGGGAAAATTCTGCAACCCTCCAAAGGAAAAAAAAAAAGCATCTATAAATGTTGAATGTTTTATTTATATGCTGGAAAGGATTTAAAGCTTATAGAGAAAGGCTAATAAAAATACATACGGTACAGCAATATAAAATATATTTCAAAGAGGTAAGAAAAAATGAGTCAAAGGAAAAAAATAAGGCTAAGAACATAAGATGGGGCCAGGAGAGAGATTCATACTGAAAATTTATGCCATGAAATTCAACACTCTTGCTAGAAGATAGTAACAAATTTTGTCCTCAGTTTTTCATCAGCCAGTGCAAAGGAGAAAAATATAATCAGTTATGTCCTGCAGAGGGTCGTGTTTTATATATACTTTTATATGAATACATGGATATGTATTTAATAGCAAACTGCTTCTTAAAAGAAGGAAGTTTCATTATCATAATGAAGAATGGAGATTATATTTCCAATGTTCATTTGCGGCAAGTGCCCTTGTACCGGAGCCTGAAATAACCCATAATGAATGTCCAAAAATAACTGACGCTTCGGATGTTTACATGAAGATGTTATGGCTTTCCTTGAAGGAGGAGACCTCGTGAGGTCGGTGAGGCCCTCGCAGAGCTCAGAGGAGGGGTGGGGGACAGACTAGGAAAACAAAGGGTTTTCTGCATTGTCTCACACCCCATCAGTCCCTGCAGCAGTTCACCCTTTCTACTGCTGCACACTATTTAAATACGATGCCTGAAGCTCTCATTCTCCCCTTGAAGGCGTATGCACCTAGGATGTTGTCTAACATTAAGTTATTCCCCCTAACCTTAGTTTCCTTGGATAACAGTCTGTCATAGGGACTTCTACGCCTTCTCTCTTTGAGAGAGCAAATACAATAACTAGCTTCTCAGAACATTATGTGGATTTGTGGCATTCTCAGAGGGGCTATAAATGGATCACATTGACAGCTTTATTTGTCATTCTTAAATGGAATGTGTTTTTCCCCCTTTGAGTTAAATCGAAATCAGATGGCATTTCTTATTTCAATGTGGAATGTTTTTACTCTCATAATTGCAAAATGGCATTCATAACTGATACTATTCTAATTTACAAAATTTGTGTTTTATTATTGGGGGGTTTCTATTTGCAAAGTAACTGAAGGAAAACAACTTATGCAACATTTTCGTTTTGCCTATTTATTGAGATCCTGATATAGTTGCTAGAATTTTGTCGCCATATGGAAGCAGAGACAATTATATTGCATGTAATGACATGGATTTTAGAAGCAAAGATATAAAAAGACATACCCAGCAGAATACCCACAACCCGGAGACTAAAACATTTTTGAAACCTCTTCTCTCCTTTGCCTCTCCAGCATGTCCCTGGTCTCAATCATCTCTTCCTTTCCTTATAATGGCTCTTGTTCAATATATGTAGGGGCAAATTGGCAAGAATAAGGTTGAAGGCACTATTTTCATATCTTAGCATATTTCTTATATGCTTAAACCAGTTGCTTCGGCCCAAGTGAAATTTTTCATTTAAAAAAATCCCCATCACTGGGGCGCCCAAGTGGCTCAGTTGCTTAAGCGTCTGCCTTCAGCTCAGCTCATGATCTTAGGATCCTGGGATCGACTCCCACATGAGGCTTCCTGCTCAATGGGGAATCTGTTCCTCCCTCTCCGTCTCCCCCTGCTTGTACATGTGCTTGCTCTCTCTGTCAAATAAATAAATAACATCTTTAAAAAAATCCCCATCACTCGCCTCAACCCACTACTCAACCTGTGTGAGAAAAGAAGCCCTCCTACTTTAATTTCTGAAACCCTCCAAAAGCTCCCAATGTTCCTGTTACTGATTTCAATGCTGTGCTTCTCTTTAGAATTTTCAAACACTACGCAATGGGTACATTTTTCACACTGAATTTATATGTGTTTATTTTCATGCTCATTTTATACACGTGTTCACTAAAGTCAGCTTTACCAAGTTCCCACTAAGTGCCAGACACTCTTAGGGTACAGTGAATGACTTTAGGTATCCCGGCCCTCATTTGGCCTACAGGCTGCCTGGTGGGGAAGAGAGACAATAAAGGAATGACACAAATCGGTATGAAACTGAAACTGTTGTAAATATGCCACAGAGAAGAGATACAAGTTTCTGGAAATTGAGATCTAAATAACAGATAGCAGTCAACCAGACAAAGAGTAGAGGCAGAAGGCATGACGTGGAAGGTGTGGAAAGCTATGATGTACAGCCAGAAGAAGAGAGCAAGAGCAATGGGAGAGACTGAAGGAAGATCGTGTAGCCGGAGTACAGAGAGCAGAGATGAACAGCATTAGTCTGCAGATGTGATCAGGGGCCGTCACCATGAAAGGCTTTTAAGCCATAGCAAAAAATATGTCTTCATCCTAGAACCAATGAGAAGGCTGGGAGAGGGGAGGGGGGATTGTGGTGAGTTACATCATCAATTTGCTATTTCAAAAAAATATTTCTGGCTACACTGCAGAGCATGAGCTGGCAAGGTGAGAAGTTCATGCAGACCAGTTGAACCTTTTCAGTACAGAGATACTGGTAATATGGCCTAGGGGAGGAAGGATGAGGTGGTGGCGATTTCGAAAAATGAATGGATTCAAGAGATGGGGAGGAGGTAAATTCTGCAATACTGACATGGCGCCCATGCGGAAGTGTAAGGGAACACTGGAGGAGGAACAAGTTTACAAAGACAGACACTAAGTTCAGTTAGACGTGTGAAGTTTGAATTCTGTAGGAAACATAAGAGGACAGAGCAAAAAGACTCTGGATTGTGGGTGTGGAGCTTGTCAGAAAGCTCTAGGGTTTGGATGTAAACTTGTGACTCATCTTTAATCCATAGTTCTGGCTCTGACGGATACGATCCATAGATGGACTTGACTGCCTACAGGAAGCTAACAGAGTGAGTAGTGGGGATGACAGTCTTAAGGAATTCAAATCCAGAACAGCCAAGTAGTGAATGGTGAGCTTGTAAAGGATGAAAGGAGTAGTTTAATAGAAGGAAACCCAGGAAATTGCAGGATCATGGGGCCTGGGGAGGAGGGGGGCAAGGGAGCGGGGATTTCATTTCAAGAGGGTGGGAGTGGTCAGTTGGCTTGAATGTGCAATATTGAGAACTGCTTTTCTATTTAGCAAGTGTGGAGAGCACCAATCAGGAGAGAATTGTTTTGAATTAAAGAAAAATCGCTAAGTGATATGTATGGGAAATAGAGTTCTAACTGGTTCTATTTGTAGTCATGCCTATTTGAGATTTCACATTTCATATTTTACATCTCTCCTAACGAGATACCTAGGGAGCTAACATGATAGAGAAGAAAGCCATTCTGACATGTTGGTGATCACAATAGAGTAGAACTGGGGTGGAATTTGAGCACAGAAGAGTTTGAAGTCCTGGGATCTGAACTGGAGAGAAAACGTGAACCTGACAGCAAGGAAATTTATGAGCACAGTACTTCCTGTTTCTCCAGCCAGGGATACGTGCACCCTGGGTAAATAAACCAAATGTTCATGAAGCAGTATGGACTCGCCTCACTCACTTGCTGGCATCCCTGTTTAACAGGAGACTGTGGGCTGACACAGCGCACAACCCTTTCTCCTTTGAGGTGAGCTGCAGCCTCAGCTTCCCTCCTAGCAAGGGCTCCACCACAATGGTCTGCGCATGCGCATGCCGGGGTGGGGGTAGAAATTAATACATCAGCCAGTGAACTCTGTGATGAGGCAAAGGTCAGACTGCAGAGGTGTGCACTGCCGATGGGAGGTAAGAAAAGGAAGATGACTGTTGGTAATTATTTGCAGTAGTTTGGCTCTAAAAGGGAAACAGGAGATTAGAGGGCAGCTGGAGAGAGGTCACTGGATGAGCAAGCACTCGTTCAGTCAACAAATATTAAAATATCTTCTATGTGCCAGGCGCTAAGACAGGTACCAGGAAGGTATTTTCCAGCCCTAATGGGAGGTCTTCCATAAACTATATTTCATGTGATAATCTCAAATGCAGAGTGACTAAATATTTTGTGAGCTGATTCACTGGAACAAATGCAACATCTTCCCTCAGATATAAACCACCTTACTTGATCTTTGTAAAATGATCAAATTTGTGTTAAAATAAAAAAAGAGAAAAATAACATGCCCATCTGTACTTCTTTTTTCTCATCCTCTCTCCTTCCATTCCTTTAGTGTCCCAAATCTGGACAGTCTTACTATTATCACTTATTCAGAAAATATTTTCTAGAATGGTGTTCTTAACCCTACATTCAGAGCCTCTCATAGTGTTATTTGATGTTTCAAATATGTTTTGATCTATAATTTATAGAGCACCCACATAATGAAATATCGGCTATTACCCCCATGGAAGTTTAGAAATGTGAATAAGGCAGGGTTTCCCTAGCTAGACTATAAGCTTTATGAGGGTTTTGGGGACTATTGTGTTTAAAGCATATAGTCAGAGTACTATAAGTGGGATTTTTGTGGTAAGGTTACAATTAAGGATCCTTGGGTTTGCAGAGAAAGGTACACTAAATTCTTACACAAGAATTCAGAAATATCTCTGAAAGAGGCAATATTTGAACTGGATGTTAAAAAATGAGCATTTCAGACAGCAGAAAGTTAGTCAGCAAAATTACAGAGGCAAACCACTTTGTGGAGGAGAGGAAGAGTGAAGAGAAATGGTTTGGTATGGTTGGAGAGGTTATGTGGAAAGTAGTAAATGCACTGATCTGGGATATTGGGAAGCTCTGCTGAGGAGTGCCTAGACTTGATCCTAGACTCACTGGAAATGTCAGGAGTTTTCAAACAAGTGGAGAAGCATGATGTTTAGGAAGAAAACTGGGATCATCAGGAGAGCTGGGAACTAATGGGGACTGGAAGCAGAGAGTACCCCGGATGGGAGGCCACTGCCTGGATGGAAGACGGTAGACAGGGGATGAGTTTCTGGCATGATGATGGCCTTGGAATGTCAAAGGGAAGTTGAACTTCCTGTGCTCAAAGTGGTCGTAATAAGTTAGATGTGTGTGTTTGGGAGGTGCAGTGATGGGGGAGAATGAAGAGGACATCACATGTTCAAGCCAGGGAGAGTGGCAATCCCACTGATTTTAGGGACAGGAAGAAAAGCAAATTCAGGAGATAATAGGGATGAGGATCCAGCCTAGAAAGCATGAGAAAAAGGTATTAATTTAAGACATGTAAGCCATGGGTGTGCATGAAATTACTGTCAAGTGGAAAACCTTGATGAAGGACCACATTTAAGGAAGGGAGAAGAGCCAGCAGAGGAAAATTGAGGAGTTTCTTGCAAGATTGGAAGTGAGATTTCAAGGAAGTCAAGAAAAAATATGGGGATCTCAAGGATGAGGACTCAAGCTGTGATTTTTTTCACCTATAAAGGTGATCCTGAACAGCATGGGTTTGAAATGCAGAGTCCACCTAGCAGATTTTTTTTGGTAAATACAGTGGAGTACTATAAATGTATTTTCTCTTCCTCGTGAATTTCTTAATAACATTTTGTCTAGCTTACTTAGTTATGAGAATACAGTACGTAATGCATGGAACTTAGAAAATGTGTGTCAATCAACTGCTTATGCTATCAGTAAGGCTTCCAGTCAATAGTAGGCTCTTAGTAGGTACATTTTGGGGGAGTGAAAAGTTATATGTGGATTTCTGAGCATGCAGGGTCAGAACCCCTTACTCCTGCGTTGTTCAGGGGTCAACTATATAATCATCTGGTTGTATCTTTCTCTTCCTTTCCCTTCTGGATTGGCCCCGTGGAATGGGTGCAGCTGTCAGTCCTGTATCATGTCTAGGTTCACACTTCATCCTTGCAGCTCCATGCCCTATTAAGCAGTGACTGGCCTACCGTCGCCATCCATCAGTGACTTTCTTTGGAAGCTCCCCATCCCCCAACTACTGAGACATAACTTAAGGAAAGAAGCTCCGTGCATGTGTGTGTGTGTGTTAGGAAGGAACAACAAGGGGGAAGTGCTGGGTGATTTGTTAACTGGGCATCAGTTAACAAAGTTAGTATTTTCCTAATCCAAGCTTCATGTTTGTCTCTAGGAATAATACAATTTTATGGCGATAATAACTACCTCCAAGCATAAGTAGTGTTTTGCCCTTCAGCTTTCATGGTGGGTAGTCAGGCCCACTTTGTTATGTAGTTCATTTTATTTCACTGTTCGAATGACGTGTTTTCCATGAAGAATTTTTCTGGGAATTTTGTATCAGGACAATTTCTTTGGGGGGGAGTAACGCATTTTCTCCTTTCTAACAATAGAAGTTATCGAAGAAATTGTGTTCTCCTTTTATCTAAATTACCAAGAAATTCAAATCCAAAAGGTAACTTAAATTATCTCAAATGTTGACCAATGTAGGTGGCATATGACCATCTTCCTTTTTTTACTCTCAACACTGTTATTTTTATTCATATTTCATTATTTCTCTACTTGGAAGCCACCCCAAATCCTTATGATGAAGAGTCAGGACATAAAATAAATTAAACACTTCCACTGTTAACTAAATGTCTTTCCAGACATCATCTCCTTTGATCATCAGAACAAGCCATTGACTATATTATTACTCCCACCAGAACCTTGGTGAAGTCAAGGACATAAAATTCACTCAGACAAGTACTGAGTGGGATTTAACCCTCGGTCTTCTTTCTCTTGTGACAGTGGTCGTTTCAGTCTATCTGGCTCAGAATTTGTGGGCAGCTGGTTGATGGGTAGGTGGCATAGAGTTGGCTGTGATAGCTCTCATCCAGATGAGAACTAACCGCTGACGTAAGAGGCTAGTATTGTTTGGGGCAGTTTTCTTCTTTACGATGAACTAGTCCGTATTTCTGTCTCCTCCCTAGATTTTATAACATTCAAGAAGCACATGAAAGGAAACTCTCTCATCAAGTATTCTTGATTAAGTTACGAAAATGGAACGGAAGTTCATTCTCCCCCTTCGTATGGTAAGTAACTACTAATTGGAGTAAGATTTGCCTTTCCCCTCCTCCTAATTTCCTCTCAATATTTACAAAAGAAATGGAAATGCTTCTGGTGTGAAGGTAGCATGATTTATGAATCCTATGCAGTCTGTCTTCAGAATATTTCATTAAAAAGGAGAATTTGGTGAAATTTTGGTTTTTATAAATTCTAGTTTCATATGTTTTATCTCGCTTAGAACTGGAGTCATTGTGATCCACATATGAGTTCTGATAATTAAAATAACATAACTCTTCTACCCACTTGATACACACTTTTAATTCTTTGGTGCAAATTGACATGTGGACTCTGAAAAGTCATGGCCACATAAAAGAAAGACTTAGAAATGCCAGATTGCCGGGCAGTGGCATTTCTCTGCATTCCAGAAGCCGTAGTTTGGAGCAGCCACCCTTTTGGCCTGGCACTGACTGTCTTTAACTAGAAAAACATCTCTCTTTGCAAGTGACGAGAACTGAGTCACCCCACGTGAGCAAGATCAGCTCTTAAAGAAAGGGCAACGTTATTAAGTCCTGCCACCAGGCTACCGCGCCTGCGGGACTTAAAATGATTTGAGACCGTTGTTCAGTCCCTTTGCCCACCCGCAAAATCATTTATTTTCACCCTTCATTGTATTTTACTTTTCTTTCCATGTTCCAATGCATGTTTAAAAGAAGAAGTCTATTATGTAAAGCTGTGAACATTCATTAATACATTTCATTTATTCTAACAAATTAGGAAGGTGGGCATCTCCGAATTTGTGGGCAGGCTGCATTAGAGATAACTCTCAAACAAATGTGGGCTCTGTTCTTTAAACTACAGAGAGTAACTCCAACAAAACATTACAAAGTAAAAATCCTTAAGGAGACCTGTAATGATAAATCATATGAACATTCTGTTATTAGCATATAGATTGGATGTATGTAGCAGCTTGTAAAGTGCCTGAGGTTCACTGAAAATAGTTTATTCTGTGTCCAAAAAGTGTATGCAAGATTGAAAATAAATGTTTAAAACACCATATATTATCTACTTATAAATAAAGTGTTTGCAAAAGCAAAGGTAAATGTCAGCCCAGCTCATGAAAAAAATTATCAACAGATTTAAATTTACTGAAGCCATCAATTAATGAGATATTACCATGTGTGCATAAATAACTTAAAGGATAAAATTTGCTGATCCTTCTCTCATATGGATATTTGTGCTAATGATTCAGGATCCTATTTACTCTATTAGTCCCCAAAGTAATTGCTTATTTGAAGAAGTTCTGTCTTATGGGTTTTCAGTTAATTAAATCCATTTGCATTTTATGCACACATTTTAAATTCTCAAGTCCTATTTTTCATAAGCCAGATTCAAATATGTTCATGTAATAATACCTCTCATTAAGGCATTAGTCTTTCATTTTTCAAGGAGCTTTCAAAATAGCCATATGCATAAAATGCTTATTAATGAAATCCAATCAATATTTTAGAAAAGTCAA